GCAAGCTGAATATTCGCGCCGTCACACCACAGGTCTGATCTACTTCTATTAGAGAAAGATAAGAGCTGAAAAAAATTCAAACGGATGCGAATAGGAAGTGCTGGCTACCAAATGTCTTTTGCATGAAAATTTCCTAGCTCCTTTCCATTCATATCCTCTAGGAGGTAAATCGATCGGCCCAGTTTTCCCTTGATTCGAGCCTTAGTGCCGATAGGAGCTAGCTTAGAGCAAAAATTAGCTGCAGCTTTGCTCAAAGAAAAATTTCTTTTGATCACTTCTTGACCTATTTCAAATGCTCGTGTCTGTGACCGTAAATTATACGATCGCTGGTTTCTGTCATAAGCCTTTTTGAGGTGTTTATCTACATCAGCCCTGAATTTCTGAAATTCGTCAGCTCTGGGTAACCTAGCGGTGCTGTCTTTTAGCAATTCTAAATTTCTCAATAATTTATAATCTTTGCCATGAGAAATCATGTGTTGTCCAAAGACCATAAAATAGGGAGAGTAACCAATCGATTGATGTATAGAATTGCGAAGGGAGCTGTTAATGCGACTTAAGAAGGTATCCCATTCGCGCTGATCAACACGAATATAGGCTCTTAAAGCTGCATTAATCGAACGATTCACTCCAAGGCCAATACAAATGACGTCGTATTCGTTCAAGACATTTCGCGGTACCACAGTGTGCGGAAGATGGTTGATCATGAGCTGAACATATGACGCTGTTTCGCAAAGACTCGGGCACTATCAGTTTCCATGAATCATTGCCTTGATTGGAGCTATCGTCAGAGAAATCTTTGCGATGATAAATGTAACCATCAATTACTTGATAGTCTGGCATCTTCGATACCTTAAATTTATCTCGCAAAGCACAGTATTCTGCTGACTGAAATGCTTCGGATTGCAGATCCACTTCGGGTAGAACTTCAGCATATATGTTCGCAACAAAGTGTTCCTTCGCCTACTATATATCCTAGATACTCTACCTTCCTAAGACAAAACTGGCTTTTTTGAACATTTATGGTAAGGCCAGCCTTTCGCAATTGAGTAGCAACTTCTGAAAGATGCAAAAGATGTGACTCAAAACTATCGGACAATACCAGCAAATCGTCAAGGTACACTAATACGTTTGATTTTAGCTGATATGGAATTACTAAGTCCATTAGACGACTCATTGTTTGCGGAGCATTGGTCAATCCAAAAGGCATTCTTTTGAATTGATAAAGAGGTCTATTTGGGACTGTAAACACTGTTTTAGCACGGGATTCTTTATCTAAACAGATTTGCCAAAAGGCATCCTTGAGGTCGATTTTCGAAATGCAGTATACAGGCGGAAGACGACTCAGCAGTCCAGCCATTATTGGAATAGGATACGCATCCTTAATTGTGACTGCATTAAGTTTTCGTGCGTCGAGACAGAAGCGCACTTTGCCTGGTTTTACGTGTAAGGTGATGGGAGATGACCAAGGAGAACTTGGGGCCTCTTCTATAACGTCCATTTGAATCATCCTGTCAATCTTCTTGCATAAGAGTTCTTCTTTTGCTGGAGAAAGACGATAAAATCTCTGTTTGATGGGTTTCGCCTCGGCAGTATCGATTGTATGTTCGATTAACGTTGTTATGCCAAGTCCATTATTTTCAAAAGATGGAAAGAAATCAATCACAGCTTTTAGTTTGGATTTCTGGAATGACGATAAATCCAATTTAGTAGAGTCCTCTTCGAGCTTTTCAGTTTCTATCGCCGAAACATTAATATCGCCAAAAGATGAAATCGATATACCAAATTTCTTCCAGAAATCCATACCACAAATAACATCTGTTCTAATGGAAGAAACTATAAGAAACTCAAGGTCAGCTTGGGTTGAATTATAAGTCAGGGGTATGGTAATTGTACCAGCAACAGGCTGTGTTTGGCCATCGGCCGTGCGAACAACGCCTTTGCCTTTGTCAACATTAAAGTTTTCTGACAAAACTCTCTTGGCAAGATATCCGCCAATGACACTTTTGTTGGCCCCGCTATCTAATAAGGCTAGGTAATCCTGACCAAAAATGTCAATGTTGATAAAAGGTCGAATATCATTGCTTTTATTAACAATAGAGTTAATTAAACATCTGTTTAGTGCTCGCTTGCTTTGCCAAAATTTTCGCATACGTAAAGAAGAACGAGATTTACATGAAAGTAATTCATCCGCGTTAAATATTTCGGACTTACGCTTCTCGTACTCATGAACTCGCACATGGTATGGCTTAAATCGCAAGAGACTAGGTACTTCCGGGGTTAAAGGTGATTCGTCTGGTAGTTGTTTAGAAATAGCTGTTTGAAAATTTTGTGGATCCGAGGCTAATATCGGACATCCCCTTTCGGAACACGGCGGACATCCTTCGTCGAGTTTTCCGATTTGGGATTACATTTTTGACAGTTGGGCTTGTATGTCTCAGGTGTGCCACAACCGTAACAAAAAATCCGACGATGCTTCAGGCAATCTTGGTATCTGTGACCCTGTTCCTCGCAATTCCAGCATTTAAATTTTTCGGGGGATCGAACTACACAGATTTCATCAGTTGCATTAATTTCCTCTTCCGATTCAACTCCTGGAATTTGTTCGTGGAGAACAGTATTGACAAATCGTCGGTTCACATTTACTCGAGGCTGCTGCCTTGAATTAAGACTACGAAAGAAATCCTCATGTCTATGACATTCCTTTCGCAGACTTGCTAAATCACGAGTTTCGACATGTAACAATTCGTGCTTTAGTTCAGTTTTGAGATTATGTCTGACTTCGATCGTTAGGTCTGTGTCCAACATAGGCTCACGCAAGGAATCGGCAATCGACAGAATTGCATCTAAAAAATCATCAAAGCTTTCGTTGTTGCCTTGTTTGCGACGACGAATTGCATCTTTGATGTCGCGATCAGTTCGCTGATCCTTATATCTCTCTTGCAAGCGGTTACACAGTTCAAACCAATTCAAGTGAACTGCACTTCTATGAACGCGCCAGTAGAAAGATAAGGCTGGTCCAGTGAAAAGGAGATGAGCAAACTGAACCAGTAGATGGAAATTCCCATTCAAACATTGAGAGGTTAAACAGTTCACTCGATATATAAAATCTTCAATTGGAATGTCATTAGCTAATCCGCTAAACTTGATTCGCCAATTGGAAATAACATTCGAAATTCTTTCGGGATGTTCAACTACTCCATCACCTACGTTTGCGCGAGCGTAAGAATTTCCAGGTCTCTGATTACTGTTATTTCGACTATTGCTGGAATTACTTAAACGTGGACGGGGTGGAACTATGTCATTCTCCCAATCGAGATGACCCTCATCACGAGTTTCCCGAGGTTGGGTAGACAATGACAAACTTCGAACGGCTGCACTTAACTGCTCCGTCATGGCTGCAGTCATACTCGCTTTAAAGGTATCTAAAGAATTCGCAATCAATTGTTGGATACGCTCTTCCGAGATAATATTAGACTCGGATGTAACTTTAGGTCGGGGCAAATCACGTTTTGTGTTTAAATTTGGATTTGGTCGGACGTTCGTATTCGGTTTATTGCGTGAAGTCGATCTGGTGTTTACACCAGTTTTAGGAATCGCTCCAGAACTCGCTTTCGTGATACTAGTCTGGTCCTTACCAGACGGGGTATTGGTATCAGTCGTAGTGCTTTCTCTTATTTGAATCATGATTTTGGAACAGTATTGCCTACACACGGTGCATGATTCACTGCTCAAAATCCACTCCAATAGACACCATCTGTGAAACTTGTGTTTACAGGGTGTTTCTACAAATTCACTATCTGACCTGGTATCATTACAAATCGTACATATGCCAGGTTCAATAGGGGTTGCGGATCTTAAATCTTCTGCGCTACGTCTGACAGCCATAGCAAAATAAAATGTCGGTAAAGTGGTTTTGTGGTCGGAAAAGTGAGATATATAAAGTGACGAAATTTACTATATCGAAATAAACGCTGAATAATTAATAAGGACTTATCCAAAGGTCTGACACCGCAGGTATAATTGACGGCGTATGAACATATCAGACTCGTACACAGAATTTACTATAAAATATATAAGAGTGTATATTACCCAATCTAAAGAGGAACAGGCCGAAAGACTCCAGTCTGAGCAAATCTCAATTTAGGTCCGGAATATAAATTATTATTTAAATATCGATTGCCTGGTTTAGGACCGACTGAAATCAGAACTAAAATTCCAACGCAATTCGAGATTAAACAAAAGAATTGATTAAATGTCTAGAAATTTTCTTTCGTTAGAAAGAGACTCTAAAATGAAATCAACTTTCTGGAACTACTCTGTCTACTGGTCTGGCTCCGACAATAATCAGAATTCCAGCATTTCCGAAGTAAACAGAAAGTACCGTGCGGATTTAATTGCAAAATATAATATGGGTGGAATATTGTTTCGAGAAAAGGAATGTAGAAAGGTAATTTGGGAAGCGCGGGGTGTTCACCTTAACTTAGGATAATAAAGATTATCCTAGCAGTGATACATACAGTGAAAAAAAACCAATCGGTCGGGATTTGTTCGGAAACGACCAATCGGTCGGGCCCCACGTTGGGCGCCAAGTATTATGTAACGAACACTAACAATGTCGTCTCGGCTTGCACACCCTGTCTACTATTTGGGGCGGCCTTGCTCAGGGAAATTGGGCGTGGGTATTGTGCCGCCTAAACAAACGGTGCTACAGTAATAATTTCGTAGACAGGGAAGAACGGGAAGAACGGGATAAGGAATGCGAGCCATACAAATGGAACGGACTGATGTTGCTTATAAGTTGTTAGAGTTCTCCTTCTTTACCCACCCAACCTTGTAGGAATCTATTGCAATTTTGGATCCTACCCTATGAAGCTTGCGGTGCTACAGACCTAAGGTGCCTTTAATAATAACAAATTATCCCATGTTTATATTTCTATAATTGAATTAAGTTAAATGCAAGGACTATTCATGATAGTGGAATTCAATAAGGACATTGTAACTTCATTATAAATTGTGGCTCTGATACTATTATACTCTTATTAATTTTATACTATTAGGAATATCAATACAATACCAACAAAATTCTATGGGCGCTTTAGTTACCAATATTGCATCTCTGATGCCATCATGTCCGGCTACGCCGTACTTACTACCATATCATCCTTAGCGATCCATCGATGTCAGCAGGCCTGTCGACGTAGACGATCTGTAGGCGGTGATAATTAGAGTCAAAGGTGCAAAATGGATACAAAGCGCTCACTAGAAAATATTTTACAAATTTATAAGTATGGAGTATAACATTACTTAGAACTAAAATTCATTTTTTTCCTTTTTTTTTATACTCTATGCCTGCTATGCGGTGACTTCAAGACACCGGGGTTGTTGTTCCTGTGTTGTTGTAGTTGTTCTTCTGTTGTTGTTACCGTTGCTCTTGTTATTGTTGTTGTAGTTGTTCTTCTTACTGTTGTTGTAGTTGTTCTTCTTATTGTTGTTGTAGTTGTTCTTCTTATTGTTGTTGTATTGAGAGGCGTTGAGCAGCCCTGAATAGGCGCTGGCAACGCTTCTCTGCTGAAGTCGGCTTGATTTTATTTTTCAACAAAATCTATAGCCGAGCACAAAAGGGATACAACTTTAAAGTCCGCTCACAATTACTATGCTTCAGGAAATACTCACAATGAGGTATAAGAATAGACGAAGGGGCTTGGGTGGCCAGTTCCGTGGTCGATGGTGTATTGTGGTGTGGTGCAATGATTGGATGTGGTGTGCTTGCAGGTCCACCCAACACTCGAAACACGTGAACTGCCAAAATCCCGGTAATGAGTCGAAATTTTATTAAATTCGACTGCTGTCGGGTATAACCGGTCTTCAGCGTTCTGGTATCCGTAATATCGCACTTTAAATATTATCCCAGCTTCGGATGTTTGCCGATTGTATTTATTTGACCACGTGCAAATTGTCACGTAAAACAAACAGAAAACTTTTCTTGGCACCGATATGCTGTTGCTTCTTGCATCGATAGCATGCGGAAGAATAAAATGCATTCAGAAACGCAGGCGCAGCCAACTTGACAGTTCAAGAGCAAAAGTTCGCGTTAGAAAGATTAAGAGCGAAAGTTCGCGTTCGAAAGCTCTCTAACGCACCATAAGCTGCACCAGCTGATCTAGACCAGCTGCTTAAGTCTAATGTGCATGTTATGTGCAGTGTTTTGAAATTTGCAAGCTGAATAATCGCGCCGTCACAACATTATGAAGCCCTTTTTATATATTTTGACTCTACATCAAAAGCTGAAAATATGTAGTCTCGAAGTCATTTCGAGAAATTGACGTTTTAAGTTTCTGTTTCCAAATTCAAATGGATGTATCTTCGCCAATAATTGTCAGAAGTTAGAATTTCTTTCAACATTATGAAGCCCTTTTTATATATTTTGATTCTGCATCAAAAGCTGAAAATATGTAGTCTCGAAGTCATTTCGAGAAATTGACGTTTTAAGTTTCTGTTTCCAAATTCAAACAGATGTATCTTCGTCAATAATTGTCAGAAGTTAGAATTTCTTTCAACATTATGAAGCCCTTTTTATATATTTTGATTCTGCATCAAAAGCTGAAAATATGTAGTCTCGAAGTCACTTCGAGAAATTGGCGTTTTAAGTTTCGGTTTCCAAATTCAAACGGATGTATCTTCGCCAATAATTGTCAGAAGTTAGAATTTCTTTCAACATTATGAACCCCTTTTTATATATTTTGATTCTGCATCAAAAGCTGAAAATATGTAGTCTCGAAGTCATTTCGAGATATTGGCGGATTAAGTTTCTTTTCCCAAATTCAAACGGATGTATCTTCGCCAATAATTGTCAGAAGTTAGAATTTCTTTCAACATTATGAAGCCCTTTTTATATATTTTGACCCTGCATCAAAAGCTGAAAATATGTAGTCGCGAAGTCATTTCGAGAAATTGACGTTTTAAGTTTCTGTTTCCAAATTCAAACGGATGTATCTTCGGCAATAATTGTCAGAAGTTAGAATTTCTTTCAACATTATGAAGCCCTTTTTATATATTTTTATTCTGCATCAAAAGCTGAAAATATGTAGTCTCGAAGTCATTTCGAGAAATTGACGTTTTAAGTTTCTGTTTCCAAATTCAAACGGATGTATCTTCGCCAATAATTGTCAGAAGTTAGAATTTCTTTCAACATTATGAAGCCCATTTTATATATTTTGACTCTGCATCAAAAGCTGAAAATATGTAGTCTCGAAGTCATTTCGAGAAATCGACGTTTTAAGTCTCTGTTTCCAAATTCAAACGGATGTATCTTCGCCAATAATTGTCAGAAGTTAGAATTTCTTTCAACATTATGAAGCCCTTTTTATATATATTGACTCTGCATCAAAAGCTGAAAATATGTAGTCTCGAAGTCATTTCGAGAAATTGACGTTTTAAGTTTCGGTTTCCAAATTCAACCGGATGTATCTTCGCCAATAATTGTCAGAAGTTAGAATTTCTTTCAACATTATGAAGCCCTTTTTATATATTTTGACCCTGCATCAAAAGCTGAAAATATGTAGTCTTGAAGTCATTTCGAGAAATTGACGTTTTAAGTTTTGGTTTCCAAATTCAAACGGATGTATCTTCGCCAATAATTGTCAGAAGTTAGAATTTCTTTCAACATTATGAACCCCTTTTTATATATTTTGATTCTGCATCAAAAGCTGAAAATATGTAGTCTCGAAGTCATTTCGAGAAATTGACGTTTTAAGTTTCGGTTTCCAAATTCAAACGGATGTATCTTCGCCAATAATTGTCAGAAGTTAGAATTTCTTGCAACATTATGAACCCCTTTTTATATATTTTGATTCTGCATCAAAAGCTGAAAATATGTAGTCTCGAAATCATTCCGAGATATTGGCGTTTTAAGTTTCTTTTCCCAAATTCAAACGGATGTATCTTCGCCAATAATTGTCAGAAGTCAGAATTTCTTTCAACATTATGAAGCCCATTTTATATATTTTGACTCTGCATCAAAAGCTGAAAATATGTAGTCGCGAATTCATTTCGAGAAATTGACGTTTTAAGTTTCGGTTTCCAAATTCAACCGGATGTATCTTCGCCAATAATTGTCAGCAGTTAGAATTTCTTTCAACATTATGAAGCCCTTTTTATATATTTTGATTCTGCATCAAAAGCTGAAAACATGTAGTCTTGAAGTCATTTCGAGAAATTGACGTTTTAAGTTTCTGTTTCCAAATTCAAACGGATGTATCTTCGCCAATAATTGTCAGAAGTTAGAATTTCTTTCAACATTATGAAGCCCTTTTTATATATTTTGACCCTGCATCAAAAGCTGAAAATATGTAGTCTCGAAGTCATTTCGAGAAATTGACGTTTTAAGTTTCTGTTTCCAAATTCAAACGGATGTATCTTCGCCAATAATTGTCAGAAGTTAGAATTTCTTTCAACATTATGAAGCCCTTTTTATATATTTTGACTCTGCATCAAAAGCTGAAAATATGTAGTCTCGAAGTCATTTCGAGAAATCGACGTTTTAAGTCTCTGTTTCCAAATTCAAACGGATGTATATTCGCCAATAATTGTCAGAAGTTAGAATTTCTTTCAACATTATGAAGCCCTTTTTATATATTTTGACTCTGCTTCAAAAGCTGAAAATATGTAGTCTCGAAGTCATTTCGAGAAATTGACGTTTTAAGTTTCTGTTTCCAAATTCAAACGGATGTGTCTTCGCCAATAATTGTCAGAAGTCAGAATTTCTTTCAACATTATGAAGCCCTTTTTATATATTTTGACTCTGCATCAAAAGCTGAAAATATGTAGTCTTGAAGTCATTTCGAGAAATTGACGTTTTAAGTTTCTGTTTCCAAATTCAAATGGATGTATCTTCGCCAATAATTGTCAGAAGTTAGAATTTCTTTCAACATTATGAAGCCCTTTTTATATATTTTGACTCTGCATCAAAAGCTGAAAATATGTAGTCGCGAAGTCATTTCGAGAAATTGACGTTTTAAGTTTCGGTTTCCAAATTCAACCGGATGTATCTTCGCCAATAATTGTCAGCAGTTAGAATTTCTTTCAACATTATGAAGCCCTTTTTATATATTTTGATTCTGCATCAAAAGCTGAAAATATGTAGTCTTGAAGTCATTTCGAGAAATTGACGTTTTAAGTTTCTGTTTCCAAATTCAAACGGATGTATCTTCGCCAATAATTGTCAGAAGTTAGAATTTCTTTCAACAATATGAAGCCCTTTTAATATATTTTGACTCTGCATCACAAGCTGAAAATATGTAGTCGCGAAGTCATTTCGAGAAATTGACGTTTTAAGTTTCGGTTTCCAAATTCAACCGGATGTATCTTCGCCAATAATTGTCAGCAGTTAGAATTTCTTTCAACATTATGAAGCCCTTTTTATATATTTTGATTCTGCATCAAAAGCTGAAAATATGTAGTCTTGAAGTCATTTCGAGAAATTGACGTTTTAAGTTTCTGTTTCCAAATTCAAACGGATGTATCTTCGCCAATAATTGTCAGAAGTTAGAATTTCTTTCAACATTATGAAGCCCTTTTTATATATTTTGACCCTGCATCAAAAGCTGAAAATATGTAGTCTCGAAGTCATTTCGAGAAATTGACGTTTTAAGTTTCTGTTTCCAAATTCAAACGGATGTATCTTCGCCAATAATTGTCAGAAGTTAGAATTTCTTTCAACATTATGAAGCCCTTTTTATATATTTTGACTATGCATCAAAAGCTGAAAATATGTAGTCTCGAAGTCATTTCGAGAAATTGACGTTTTAAGTTTCTGTTTCCAAATTCAAACGGATGTATCTTCGTCAATAATTGTCAGAAGTCAGAATTTCTTTCAACATTATGAAGCCCTTTTTATATATTTTGACTCTGCATCAAAAGCTGAAAATATGTAGTCTCGAAGTCATTTCGAGAAATTGACGTTTTAAGTTTCTGTTTCCAAATTCAAATGGATGTATCTTCGCCAATAATTGTCAGAAGTTAGAATTTCTTTCAACATTATGAAGCCCTTTTTATATATTTTGATTCTGCATCAAAAGCTGAAAATATGTAGTCTCGAAGTCATTTCGAGAAATTGACGTTTTAAGTTTCTGTTTCCAAATTCAAACGGATGTATCTTCGTCAATAATTGTCAGAAGTTAGAATTTCTTTCAACATTATGAAGCCCTTTTTATATATTTTGATTCTGCATCAAAAGCTGAAAATATGTAGTCTCGAAGTCATTTCGAGATATTGGCGGATTAAGTTTCTTTTCCCAAATTCAAACGGATGTATCTTCGCCAATAATTGTCAGAAGTCAGAATTTCTTTCAACATTATGAAGCCCTTTTTATATATTTTGACTCTGCATCAAAAGCTGAAAATATGTAGTCGCGAAGTCATTTCGAGAAAT